TGACACCTCATACTTTGTTTACCCGTGGGATTGGTCCTCAGCCAGTTGGCAAGTCCTCTGTAACTATATCCTAAAAACTTAATAAGAGGCTTCTAGCTCAGTTCCAAAAAGGCTCAAGTGACTTTCCACCTACTTCCACCGCCAAGAGGAAAAAAGAGAAGCCTACTATTATAACACAAAGAGTCTTACCTATTTTAGCTGTTTCTCCACATGTATCCCACTCACAATTCCCTCATTAGCTTGTGGATGAGACTAGGCCATTCCTTACTGAAGCAGGGGTACTCCCTTCAGATCCCTACTTTTCAGCAGCATCTGTTTTAGGCAATGCTCAACTTGTTTTTAAGAAGATAAGTGAGTCTTTGTCGAAGGAGGATATGATGTATTTGAATTCTCGCCCTCCAACTGAGATTGTAGACCGGCTATGCATGATCTCGCACGGGTTAACTCTCGCACAATCCTCTGTTTTTATTTAGCTTTTCTTTTCCTCTTCATTATAAGTTTTTGTTCCCACGTGTGTACAAGTGAATACACACGTGTATTACTTGTCGTGTCTAGCTGTAACAGGAGGGGAACATTACACCAATATGTTGGCTTCTACTCGCTCCCAACACCAAGTCGATTTACAATTGGAGCGTAATAAACATGAGGCCGCGCTACAAGCAATGAGTGCTAAGTTAGAAACAGAACGAGCTTGTCATGCATCTTATGTGCAAAAGCTCGACAAGGAGATGTCCTAGAAACTGATGATGGAAAGATCCAATGCAGTGGATGAGTTTAAAGCCTCACCAACCTTTAAGGAGATTATGTCGAAGGCCTACTTTGATGGCTTTGAAGATTTTCGGAATTGTGCTGCTTCTGAATTTGCAGACCAAGACTTCTCCGTCATTCAACTGGATGAAGCGAATGACTCTGAATAAAATAAATGTGTAGCCATTCATTTATTTGCTCCTATGTTTCTCTTTGTGCTTGAAACTTCTCTTTCTTTGCAATCAGTTTCCATTTATATTTGTAGGGTTGATGAGTAGGATGGACAGTTATGTTTTGCCATTGCGATTGCCGCATTATGTTATTCTATTGACATCTTTGGTCGGCTCATCCCTTTAATAAGGAAAGTAGATTAAGACGAGTTTTACTCAGCTCGTCTATATAATAAAGTAAGTAGATGAATACGAGCTTCACTCAGCTCACTCTTTAATAGGGGAAGTAGATGAATACGAGCTTCATCCAGCTCACCCTTTAACAAGGGAAGTAGATCACTATGAGCTTCACCCAGCTTACCCTTTAACAAGGGAAGTAGATTACTATGAGCTTCATCTAGCTCACCCTGTAACAAGGGAAGTAGATTACTATGAGTTTCACCAAGCTCGCCCTTTAACAAAGGAAGTAGATTACTATGAGCTTCACTCAGCTCACCCATTTAACATGAATATCTTAACATATCAAAATGATAATAAATTATTTGAAACAACTGATCCAAGTAGGGAATACTTTATTAAAGCTAAAGTTGATAACAAGGCTATTTAAGACATTCATTCGTAGAGAATGAGATAATTATTGAAACTACAAGTATTAGCAAAAACAAATACTAAATTAAGAGTAAACTGAAATTGTTCACTGATAATATTTCTTTAGATGCTCAACATTCCATGGGTGAGGCAGTGGCTTTCCCTTTAAGTCCTTCAACTAGTATGTTTCTGGTCGCTGACATCGCGTAACTTTGTAAGACCCTTCCCATTTGGGACCCAGTTTCCCTGTGGTTGAATCCTTAGACGCTTGAGTAACTTTGCGGAGTACTAAATCTCCTACTGAGAACCTCCTAGGCTTGACCCGAGCATTGTAATACTTGGAAACCTTCTGTTGATAGGCAGCCATCCTAATCTGGGCTTGGTCTCTCATTTCTTCAATTAGGTCCAAATTTGCTTCCAACTCCCTTTCGTTCTGCTTGGGCTAGTAGTGCTCCGTCCTAAAGCTTGTTAGGCCAATCTCTACAGGTACTACTGCCTCACTTCCAAACACTAAAAGAAAAGGGGTTTCCCCTGTGGGAGTCCTTGTAGTAGTACGGTAAGCCCACAGTACACTCGGCAGCTGCTCAGGCCACAGTCCCTTTGCAGCGTCAAGTCGAGTCTTGATCATCTGAAGGATTGTTCTATTAGTGACTTCGGCCTGTCCATTTGCCTGGGGATGTCCTGGCGATGAGAAATGAATTTGAATCTCGAGCTCAGAACAAAAATTTTTGAAGTCAGAGTTGTCGAACTGTTTTGCATTGTCTGTGACAATCACTCTAGGAATCTCAAATCTGCAAACTATTGATTTCCACACGAACTTCCTTATATTGTTCTCTGTGATCTTAGCCAAAGGCTTAGCTTCTACCCATTTAGTAAAGTAATCGACCATAATAATGGCATACTTAGTCTGCCCTTTGCCCTTGACGAGAGGGCCAATCAAGTCCATTCCCCATTAAGCAAATGGCCATGGTCTTAACATGGGAGTCATATCCTCTGACGGTTGTCTCGGGATGTTGGCAAATCGTTGACACTTGTCGCACTTTTTAACGAAGTCAAGTGCATCTTTCTACATGGTGGGCCAATAGTATCCTTATCGGATGGCTTTGTTAGCAAGTGACCTACCCCCAGCATGATTTCCACAAACTCCTAAGTGCATCTCCCTCAAAATGTAGTCAACTTCCTCGCTAGAAATGCATCGTAAATACGGCATGGAGAAGCTTCTCTTGTAAAGCACCCCTTTGATAAACGTATACTTAGCTGCCCGTATCTTGACCTTTCGAGCTTCTACTCGGTCTGTTGGTAGCACCCCATCCTCGATATATCTAATGATAGGATCTGCCCATTCCACACTCAATATCGCTTGTTGCACTTCAATTTGTCTCTCCTGAGATATAGATGGTTCATCCAAATATTCCAGTGGTATAGTCTTATTGAGCTCAGGTTCCAATGCAGTAGCTAGCCAGGCTAAGGCGTCTGCTTTCCCGTTCTCTTCTCGTGCTATTTGATGAATTGAGAATCTTTGGAAGTGATTCTTTAATTCCTCCACCTTTTGTAGGTAACTCTTCATCTTCTCGTCCCGTGCCTCATATTCTGCTCGAACTTGTCCAGCGACCAGCTAGGAGTCGGTGTACACCTTTAGCTTAACCCCTAGGGCATTTGCCACTTTTAATCCTGCTATCAAGGTTTCGTATTCTACCTCGTTGTTGGTTGCTTTGAAACCAAACCGAAGTGCGTACTGTATACTTTCTCCCTCTGGGGAAACAAGAACTAGCCCGGCTCCGCTAGCCTAAATATTAGATGACCCATCCATGAACAAGTCCCAGACTACCTCTAGGCCATCTGCTCACTTGAACCTGGTTCTGTAAAAAATTGGGGTTGTTTCTCCTCTTCTTGAGGGGTAAACTCAGCTAAGAAATTAGCTAACACCTGAGCCTTTACTGCTGTTCTTGGCTTGTACTGAATGTTGAACTCTCCTAACTTTACTGACCACTTCATCAGTCGACCAGAGCTTTCTGGCTTGTGTAGGACCTGTCGAAGGGGTTGATCTGTTAGGACCACTATCGTATGCGCTTGAAAGTATGGTCTCAGTTTTCTGGCGGACACAATTAAAGCAAAGGCCAACTGTTCCATCCTTGGATATCTTTCCTTTGCACCCTTAAGTGCTCTGCTCACGAAGTATACTGGCCTTTGGACCCCTTCTTCTTCTTGTATCAGAGCTGAACTGATAGCTGTCGTGGAGACTGCAAGGTATATGTATAGTTCCTCTCCCGGTATGGTTCGAGACAGTAGTAGGGGAGAACTAAGGTATTGCTTTAGTTTTTTGAACGCCTGCTCACACTCTGGGGTCTATTCAAAAGCCTTTCTTAGTACACGAAAGAAAGGTAGACACCTGTCAGTTGACCGAAAGATTAGCTTACTCAAGGCAGCAATCTTCCGTGTTAGTCGTTGTAGATCCTTGGTTGATCTTAGCGATCTCATGTCAATGACTGCTTGGATCTTCTCTGAATTGGCCTCAATTCCTCTTCTGCTTACCATATATCCCAAGAACTTTCCTGAGGAAACCCCAAAGGCACACTTGCTGGGGTTGAGTTTCATCTTATGCCTCCTAAGTACCTCGAAGGTCTCCTGTAGGTCAGTCAAATACTCTTTAGCTTTTAAGATTTTCACCAACATGTCATCAACATATACCTCCATGTTTATACCAATTTAGTGCTTAAACATTGCATTCACTAGCCTCTGGTATGTTGCACCAGCGTTTTTTAGCCCAAAAGGCATTACTTTGTAACAGTAAAAACCTCTATCAGTGAGGAAGGCCATTTTTTCTCTATCTGAGGTGTACATAGATATCTGGTTGTATCCAGAATATATATCCATGAAACTTAGTAGTTCGTGTTCAACCGTTCCCTCAATGAGCATATCGATTCTTGGGAGAGGAAAGCTGTCCTTCGGGTAAGCTTTGTTAAGGTCGGTGAAATCCATACATAGCCTCCACTTTCCATTTGCCTTCTTCACTAAGACCACATTTGCCAGCCAGTCGGGGTAGTACACCTCTTGAATAAAGTCGACTTTTAAGAGCTTTTCCACCTCTTCTGATATAGCCTGATTCTTCTCTGGAGCGAAAGTCCTCCTCTTTTATCTGACAGGTTTGAAGTTAGGATTTACATTTAGGCGGTGCTCCATGATAGTGGGGTTTATACCCGGCATGTCTTCATGCGCCTATGCAAATACGTCTCGATTTTTCCTGAGGAATTGAGTAAGTTCATCTTTGATACTCGGGGGGAGTAAAGACCCTATACTCACTTTCTTCTCGGGCTCACCATCACCAAGGATGACCTCTTCTAGCTCTTCTGTAGGTTCCGCTTTATGAAAGTCTGGCCTACCTTTCCCTTCCAGCCCTTCAATCGTAAGTGCCTCTTGCGATTTTGTTTTTTTGAGAGAGGCGACATAACATTCTTGAGCCATTGTTTGGCCCCTCTTAGCTTTCCCATACCATACTCAGTTGGGAAACGCATCAGGAGATGGTAAGTGGAAGTGATTGCTTTCATGGCATTCAATGTTGTCCTCCCCAGGATAATATTGTATGATGATGGGCAGTCCACCACTACAAAGTCCACCATTATAGTGACCTGCTTTGGATTGGCTCCTGCAGTGACTGAAAGGGTAACTGCCCCCAGTGGATATACTTTGTCGCCTGAAAATCCCACCAATGGTGACTTCATGGGTCGGAGCTTCTCTCAGCCAATATTTAATTTGTCGTACACCCCCAATAAATAGTATGTCAGCCGAGCTACCTTTGTCTATCAGTATTCGTCGAACAGTGAAATTAGCGACGACCATGGAAACCACCAGAGGTTCATTATGGGGCTGGTGAATCCCCATGTCATCTTCTTTAGAAAAGGTTATAACTGACTCCTCAACTCGTGGTAATTTTGTTAGAGGACTTGTTACTCTAACTTCATTCACCTCTGAAAAACTCCGAATTCTCCTGGCATGAGCCTTCCAAGCCGAACTCGTTTCCCCACCACCAGCGAAGCCACCTGATATAACTCTGATCTCACCCATTGGTTGGTGTTGAGGAGGGCGATCATCTCGGCCCTCTCGGACTGGGTTAGAGCCTCTTTTTCTATTCCCAGTCATAAATTTGCGTAAATAACCCTTACGAACAAGGTTCTCGATCTAGTTTTTGAAGTCGAAACAATCTTTTGTGTTTTGTCCATGGTCCCGGTGGAACCTACAGTATTTATCTAGAGACCTCTTTGTTGGATCAGCTTTTAGCTTTAGCGGCCAATTCAATGATGTGTCATCTTGAATCTGCAGAAAGACCTGCTCTACAGATGTATTTAGGGGGGTGTCGTTGTTATACCTGCCTGGGCTCACTGGACGGCGAGACGATCTGTTAGCCTGGCTGTTTGAGAATTTCTTGTACTTCGATTCCCTTTCCTCCTTAGTGCTAGGTGCTGGCCTCTTTTTATCCGACTTCTTATCTTCACCATCTTTGTTTTTTCGTGCATTCATAGTATCCTCAGCGTTCATGTGCTTCCGTGCTCTAACCATTAACTCTATCATGCTCGTAGGGGCTTCATTTGAAAAGGAAAATAGGAATTTAGATGTCTGTAGTCCTCCTATAAAGGCTGTGAGGGCAACCTTGTCGTCCACCTCTTCTACCTGCAGCATTTCAGTGTTAAAACGACTTATGTAATCACGGAGAGGCTCTCCATTCTGCTGCTTTACATTCAGTAAATGTGTTGCTGGTTTCCTATGCCTCTGCCCAGCGATGACGTGTCCTATGAATTGTTTGCTCAACTCTTCAAAGTTTTCAATAGAGCCTGGTTTTAATTTATTGAACCAGAGACGAGCCCAACCCTTTAGTGTGGTAGGGAAAGCCCTGCACATAATCTCATCTGGTACGGCTTGTAAATACATAAGAGCTTTGTAGGTCTCCAAATGGTCGAGAGGGTCCCACGTCCCATCGAAGCTCTCAAGGGTTGGCATCTTAAATTTGCTAAGTAGAGGATAACTCATAACAGCTGGGCTAAAAGCTAGGATGGTTTTGTGTACCATATCGTTCACTGCAGCCTGGCCCTTCCCTTTCATCGCTTGCATGATGTCGTCAACTCTAGCTTTCAGATCCTGAATCTCTAGATCAAAATGAGTGGCGTCCTCAGTCTTATCACCAACATAACTAAAAGTATCTCCACGGAGCCTAGTGGTATTCCGTTCAGGGGACCGATGGTGATGGCTCCTCTGTTGACCCCCTATTTGACTAAGCTCAACATCGTTGTTAACCCTACAGGAGTCATTGTTGGGTACTTCACTATTTTTCTCCTCGTTGGGGGCGGCTAAGCGTTGCAGAATTATCGCATTTTGTTGGATTAAAGTTTGAACCTGTTATTCCAACGCTGCGACTCGTTCCTGATCGTTTGGGACGACGGGGGGTTGCCCCATCGAGTCCCCTTCATCAGAAGCCTGCAACGCTTCGTCCTCACCAGCAGCCAGACCAGATCGCAATCGAACCATGCTTTGTTTAGAGAACAAAAATATATTCCCACAGACGGCGCCAACTATTGATGATGGATTCTGCGCAACCCGGATCTGATCTGACTTCTTGAATAAAGAGAAGAAAAAATGATCCTACAAACATTGGTGTGTTACCGGTAGAGTAAGCTCCGACGAACAAGTCAGTGTGAAAAGTAATCTCTCTGGAGAAATCAAGAAATTGAATTAAGATTTATTGCGTACCTCTAAACGTCGATTAGCCCCTTCTATTTATAGGGCTTAGGTCAGGATGTTACGTAGAGTTTCCGTCATCTTAATCCTTATCGTAATCTGTAGGCCTAATCCTTATCGTATTTTGTAATCTGTATTCGTAATCTATATTCGTAATCTGTAATCCTTATCTTAGCTTATAATCCTTATTTTAGTCTGTATTCCTTATCTTAGTCTGTAAAGCCTATCTCAATCTTATGAGATAGCGCGTTACTTTAACAATCTTCCCCTATCCACGGATATTTAAATTATACATCCATCAGTCATATTGATAACAAATTCACATTGAAGAAAGGTGTGTTCTTCACAACATTTATGTTGTTTAATTTATAGATATCTGTTTATCTCTTTATATACGTCTATATCTCTAATATGCTTACAGTATATATCACACCTTTATGCGCATAAAACACACCCAAAGTATGCAATTAGGCAAATAAGTCCTACCTTACACATATTTTATTTTATTTATTTATTTATTTATTCGGTAATTAAGTAATTCTCACAAAAGAAAGAGTAGGTACAAAAAATGAGGGCATTTCCGCAGCCCAAACATTACAAACAATTGTCCACTAATGTGGCCCAAAGAACGCAACTAGAAGCCCAAACAAAGACTAAACCCACGTATGAACAAAATATTTCCTTACACATTTATGGTAGACTTTATCCAAATGGTCATTATTGAAACACTTTACTAATTATTTAAAAATACATAAATTTGTGAAATGATGAAAAAAGACAATGACATTTGAACTCACGTGCCAAAACCACTTAGTCGCATTTCACCTCCCCCATTTGCATTGCATTAGACACACGCCACGCAACCTTTGAGAGAAATGGAAAGACAAGAACACAACACAGCAATCACGATTGTTTCACAATTTCATGATAAGAACATCATGGCAATGTAGTTTCGGGTGGTTCTTGCCGGGGATAAATGAACTTGTGTCGTGTTTTCTTGACACGAATCCGGGTCTGGAGATTATGAATTCCAAAGGTTTTAAGAAGGGGTTTAAAGGAGAGTATGAGGAGTTCTGTTATAGGGAATTAAAGGAGAGTACGAGGGGTTCTTTTATAGGGAATTAAAGCCTAGGTTGCAGAACCTTGTGCTGGAGGACTCTGCTGTTTCAGGCTTTTATTGAAAAATTAGGACTCTTCTGGTCGAGGGAGGACTCTGTTGCAGAACCTTATGCATGAGAGTATGATGAGTTACTGTTAGGAGGTAAAACCTAGATGAATGTTCAGATTTTTATTGATAAATTAGGAATTAAAGGTGTTGCTTTTCCCCTAAACGATAAGATACTAATCTGTCTCTTGTAAAATACGCAATGTAGGATATTTGGGTTTTTCCTTGTCTTTGCAAAAATTAGAAACATAGTAACGATGAGGACAGTAAAGCATCTTCTTGAGACCACACATGTTTTTGTTGTTTCTATATCAGCATTTTTCAATGACGTTGCACGGAGAAGAACTTATGAAGCCTAGTTGTGGCTGTTCAAGTAGTGCTCTCTAAATTTAATAATTCATAGGCAATCTTAGTAAAAATATTAATCCCGATGATTGATTTTAAATTTCAACATTCACTAGTTGAGAATGTTGTTTGGTAGCATACAGGGAGAATTTTTTAAAAAATGTGCGTATAACACCCCTTTATTATGAGAATATATATAATACACACCCTTTAGGTATTTTCAGAAAGCTAAAAGGACAAAAAGCTAAAAGGACAAAACAAGTATTAAAGCATTACTTTATGTCAAAGAACTGCAAAAAATAGTTTGAGGGGTGTTTCTGCACATTTTTTAAAGAATAGGGATAATAGCACACTTTTTAAAATTAGAGGTGAAAGTGATATGCGGAGCACACTTTAAGGGTGTTTTCCACACTTAACCCTTACAAACATACATGTGTGTTCCCTTGTTTATCTTCATTATTCTTTTGCCATTTCATTACATTGGGTCCCTTTTTAAATATTTGGTAGTTAGTGTCTTTTTTCTTTTATTCCTTATTATTCTTCTTATTTTTTCCCAAAATTTTAAAATGTGCATTGATGCTACCCCGTTCTAAGTTTTATACATTTTACCCTTATTATTATTATTTTTTTATCTTCATCATATCATATCCTCGATAATTTCTTTTTTGTTTGTTTATGACTTATTAACTTCACCTATTATTTTAAAGGAAATAATCCTCTTATTATTATTTTTTTCTTGAATAATTAGTAAAAAAACATTTATTGTTTTTTAATCAACCTGTGTGAGATAAACACTGCATGATACCTTACATGACAAATCTTAATGAAGTTAGTGTGGTCATGATGAAACCACAACAACAAAGAAATATATTTCTACTATATACTATGTATGATAAACATCATGTTGTGATTGGTAGATATCATTTATACGGTTGTAACATTAAATTTTCACTTATTACAATAAAAAATAACAAATAACAAATAATCATATATATATATATATATTATAATATTATATTATATGAAACAAACATTACTTTCTAAAAAAATAAGGCCCATATAGTCACCCATGTTGCATCGAAAAAATCATATAGCAAGAACAAGCCACAGATGTGCCTTTCTGAAAAAATAAGGCCCATATGTTTACATGCCTATGTACATGTAAATAAGTAAATTTATGTGGTACACACAGAATCGTGAGGACACTACATTGATCTCACCGATTTAATAATGTTTTCCTATATTCTAATTTTTGCCTTTTAATTATGTTCGTACTTGTTCTTAATATTTTATAACCATTTAATTTGATTCATCCTAACTATTATATTTTCTTTCCAAGCTAAAAAAAAGTTATAAGCTAGCGTCGGAGGTTCACTGGTCACATGTCATCAAGAGGCAATCATTGTTGGCCAAAAAGGATACTCAACCTTCTTTACAAATCGAGGATGCCAAAGAAAAAGAGGAAATAGGTCAGAATAAGGCATTGTTATGTTAGCCTTTTTGGTAGTGCTGCAAATGAACCGAGCCGAGTCAAGTCGAATTTTGGGTTACTCGGGCTCGGCCGAGCTTGGTCTAACTAGGCTCGGGCTCGGCTCGGCTCGGCAGAAAATCAATGAGCTCGGGCTTGACTTAGCTCGGGATCGGTTGCATCGCCAACCATCGTTGATTCAAGAAATCACGACCTTTTCCATGAAATTCGATCCCCATCTCGGACCAGAGAGAAATCAAACCTTGAATCGATGAAATCTTATCTCCATCTCCAACAAGAAAGAAATCCATTCGCACTTCAAGAAAGAAAAAAAATAAAAAAACTAAAAAAAATTCAAAATGAAACAAAACTTCTAAAGTTTTATCCCTGATCTACACTATTGTTCCACTACTCAACCAGTCGACCTTAAGATGCATTAGAGAGAGATGAGCTTTGTGTTGCGTGATGGGGACTGCCGACAAGATCATTCGGAAGTGAAGAGAACATGCCATTGTACACTTCTGCTTCTAGGGCATCCTCATCTCTTTTTAGCTTTAGCAAATCAATGACTAAGATGGATTCTATATTAATGGCTGATATTCAATCTTATTTGGATTATGGGCTAACTAATTACAAGGCCCTGGGCCTTATTAATGAAATGGTGTGAATTGGACCAATGGACTATAAACATTTTAAAATACAGAATATGGGCTCAACATTTTATATGTAGAATAATATAAAATTGGCCTTTAACTTGACGAGTTTGTTCACGAGCCTAACGAGCCGAGCTTAGGGTTACTCAAGTTCGGCTCGTTTACTAAACAAGCCTGAAAATTGAGCTCAAGCTCGGCTCATTTACTAAACGAACGAGCCCGAGCTGAGCTTTTAACGAGCTGAGCCTGAACTGTTTATGAACGGCTCGATTCATTTGCAGCCCTACTTTTTGGCTATTATTTTGAAATAGCAAGAAGGAAGGAAAGAAATTTTGTAAAAATAAAAGGCTATTTTATTAGGGAAAATTATAGAAAAGTGGACTTTTGGGGTTTATTTACTTAGAGATGGAGTCAAAGTCAACGCTTTTCAAAGCCATGGTCTTTAACCAAAGTCTGATGTGGACATGGATTTGCATTGTTCATTTCCTTAAATGCCCCTTACTGTTTAACTGAAATCCCTTAACAACCCCTTCTAATAACTTTATTTTCTGAGGTACTATATTTGTACTTTGGGTCCTACTTTTGTACCACTTTTTATGCATATGGGTACCAATATGTACACAACATTTTTTATTTCTACATTAATGGCGTTGTAGAGTTGGTGACACGATATACTATGTTACATGGGTGTTGCATCGAATGAAGCTGCAGTTCGTTTAGGTACCACATTTGTGCACATATTTACCACTTTTGTGCAACTTGGTACCATTTTTTGTATAAGTTGGAACCATATATATTTGTCACTGGCTATCCGTTTAGGTATCACATTTGTGCACGTATGTACCACTTTTGTGCAACTTGGAACCAGTTTTTGTATAAGTTGGAATCATATTTTGTGCAAGTTGGAATCATTTTTTGTGCAACTTGATACCATTTTTTGTATAAGTTGGAACCATATTTGTCACTGACTATGCGTTTAAGTGCCATATTTGTGCACGTATGTACCACTTTCGTGCAACTAGGTGCCATTTTTTGTATAAGTTGGAACCATATTTTCTGCACAACATTTTTACTACTGATGATTAATAGGAGAACTAATATTTTGATAACCTGTTAGTAGGAGTCTCACTATGACAACCAGTGATCAAAATTTACACAC